TAGAAGCAGCGATGAACAGAAAATTAGCGCTCACTAAGAAAACACAAAAATTTCGAACAAGAGCAAAGAAATAATCACCATTTTCGATCTCGCATTTGCCCAAGCCCAGTTTCGCTGCTTGAAATGCCGTATGGCGGACTGTGATGACTTTGATAGGATCCAGGCACTTGACAGTACAGATTACGTTACCTAATAAAACGAAATTCTAAATATAAAGAGATGGCGCACACGATGTTTAACGTTACCCGCATAGATGGCTCGAACGAAAGTGTCTGGTTCCTTAATTTCTGTTATATCCGTTAATGGCGACATATCCAACTTTGCTGCGACTCGAGGCAGAACAGCCTATGCGATCAAAATTACGTCTAATATTACTACTTATAATATAACATGTAAAACGTTTTGAAATGCTTGTAATAAAACTTTCACATACGGTCACAGCAATCAACTATTAACTAAAATGTTATGAAAACCAGAACAACATTAAACTAACTTATAACTCTCCGTGTAATAACCGACAGTTGATAAACGTCGTACTTACTTTGCTAAACGTTGAAGAAGCTCCCAAAATGTAATCGAAATTGTACTTTTTATGGCAGTTCAAAATTATGGACGAAATAATATCTATAACGAGCAAACTTTATTCGTAGGTGAAACCTGTCAGAAACATTAGTACCTACGTGGAAGAAAAACGTATTCATCTGCTTCCTGGGCAAACAACACTTTCTGCACTTCTTTTACGGTGCTGATTTTCGATGCAGCCGATTCGTTGTTTTCGCCAACGACCAAACATGACACATCGCCAAGTTTCGCTGCCGCTGAAATCGCATTTAGCGTGATGAGATTCAGATCATGGCCAGCACTGCACTCGGCAAGTACCAGAGTTCCCTTCGAACGTTTCAACAAATAACTGAACTAAAAAACAGAACTGTAAAGCGTAAACGGTTTACCAGGGACGATATTCATGTTTGGGGAATGATCGAGAGATAAAACTGAAAATGAAGAATAAACATTTTACTGAAATAAAAGCATTTTCTCATACTGCAAGGGTGAACAATTTTTTCCCCAAAAGCAAATAATTTGATTAGCTTGCGAATATCACCATTGAATTTTGTAGGGCAGGCATGCAATGCAGACCTGCAGCAACCTGACACTCTGCAATGTAATACTTTAAAAAGGGGATTGGGCGCAATTCACTCACTGAAAGGTCAGTAGACAATATTATACTGAGGTTGTGGATCATTAAAGGAAGCTTTAAACGTTATTTGAGCGCTGGAATGTCAGTCAGACAATAAGGCACTTTATACCCTGCGAAATTTCAAGCGTACCAGAAAACGCTGTTTATGGTTGAAGTTGAATAGCAAGATCAGACAACTGGCCAGTGCCCAAAAAGACAATGAATAGCTGCAGAATCAGGCGAACATTTTCTTATGCTCCTGTATAGGTAGCAGCATTTGTTACATAATATAGTTTTGGCAAATCTGTGTAGCTGGGAAAACGAAACACTTAACGTCAAGCGACCAGGAATATTACGGAAGTGTGGAGGTTTTAACTACAGCAGATGCTCTAAAATTATTGAAAAACAACATGGCACGGTACAGACATTTACGATTCAAACAATTTCCTCACTGTCCTACAATCACTTGCTGAAGTGAGCGGATCAAGCGTCGTTATTGATATTCAGCCATGAAGAAGGTACAGTCGAAGCTGGACAAAAAGTGGGGATACATAGAATGTACAGTGATTCTATCCATTTCGATCAATCAATCTCGTTCATCAAATTTTTACGGTGGTAGCTATCAATAAAAAACGGTTAATGACAAATCGAACTTGTACAGAAGTCATAAAAAATGTAGCAGCCGGTTGAGCGGATCTACTGCGCTGAGCGTTCTCCTGTCAATCGATTGAAAATTCGTCTGAACATGAGAATGCGACAATGCTGCCCGATCATATCAGTCTATTGTTTATACCGATTACAAATAGTGATACTAGAAACAGCTGTTATTATACACGACCAAAATTAGTCGTCATTAACGACGGATTGACTCTTATATACATTTTCTTTGAACACTGGGCGCGTCATCATCGGCACGTTCGCAATATTCCGCTATCAGGATCAGATCGTGCAACCGATCATATGGATGATTTACGAACTGGTGACTGTCGTGCCATCCATCACGCGGCAACGACCTTGTAGGATTCTTTCTGAACACACAACGTAGTTCCGCTGGCGACAGTGCAGTGTCCCGTCCTGGCCTTTCCACGTCATCTATCATCCGAGGATAATGCAGTGAAAACTATCATTAAGGAGCGAAGATCCTACCACCAGAAATTAAGAAGGGAAGTTTTATGACCGAATTAGTAATCCACCATCCGCAACCAACCTGTCAGAATTAATGTGGCAATGCATGCATAATACCTGCCGGAAGGAATATCATTTTTAGCCAGGCCTGATAAAATAGCAAGAAGAATTAAATCTATATTTTCCTGCCCAGCGAAACAAGCGATTTGCAGACAACTTCTTCCGGTTACCTAGTAATTCTGATGAAAACAGCAGAGTATATCAGTGATTCAGTTCTGTACCG